CTGATTGTGATAACACACGAAGAAAAGAACATTCTCATCTGAAGAAAACTGTGTAAAAAACCCGGCGTAGTCAATCGATGGTTGAGCATCGAACACAATCGAACTAACAGCAGGGCTTTACTAATCGAACAAAATCGAGCGTTCGGAAGTCGAAGTATTTAAGCAATAGAAAACTTTTTCCGTGTTTACATAGCCTGATAGCCACACGAGGGGAGGTTGGGAGAATTCGAGACAGTTATGCAAACTCGAGACGTAGTCGAGGTTACAAAGTTGTGCTAGCAACAAAGATGAAGAAGATGAAGAATCTGAGGATAAAGAAACTGAAGATGTAGAAGAAGAAACTGACGATTTAGAAACTCTCCGAGTAGAATTGGATAGTATGAAAAGAGAAGTATGAATAAAGAATATGCTGACTGCATGGAAATGAAGCTAACTCGAATTTATCAAGTGAGTTAAAACTTTTTCAGAATGAAATTGATAATTTAAAATACTGGACAGCTGAAACTTCTAATGGAATTGTTTCAGCTTTTTCGAGTAGTTAATCAGCCTACGAGGTTTACAGAATCTTCTGAAACTTTGATAGATGTTGTCATCACTAACAAACCAGATAGATTGGTAGCATATGGGATTTAGGAATTAGGAATTAGCGATCATAGTCTTGTTTATGCTATTCGAAAAGTATCAGCATCACTAATATAAAACATCAACCTAAAAACACTACGTCTAGACAATTTAAAAATTTTGATCCGTACAAATTTATTGAAGATTTAAGAACCTTAGATTGGGATACCTCTAGTTCAGACTTGGGCGTTGAGGACTTGTGGGATAATTGGAGTTTAAACTTTCTGATTGTAGCCGATGCTAATGCCCCTTTACGTTCTAGAAGGGTCAGAAGAAAACCATCCCCATGGTTATCTTCATCAATAAGGCAAATGATCGTTGATAGAGGGTGCACTTAAGGCTCGTGCTGTTAAAACTAAGAATACTGAAATATGGAATCAGTACAAAAGTGCTCGTAATCTTGTTAACAAAACTATCAAAAAAGCAAAAGCTGAGTATTATTAAAATACGATTATCTCAAATGAAGGTAACGTGAAAAAAATATGGCGTACTGTAAATCAAATTTCAAAGCCGAAAACTAAAGATGGTCACATCAATCAAATTAAAGAAGACGATAATATCGCGATTACTAATCCTCAAGCCATATCCAGTGTTTTAGATAGTTATTTTACTCAGATAGGAAAAAAACTGGCATCAAGCTTACCTATAAGCCAAATCAATTTTAATCAATAATTGAATAAAAGTCTTACTAGCAGTTTTGAATTCAAAGAAATTTCGAATAGTGAAGTATTTGAATTATTATCTCAAATTTGTCCTGATAAGGCAACTGGTTTAGATAACATTTCAGGCAGACTACTGAAAGAGGCTGCCTCGGTTATCTCTCCTGCTTTATGTCACATTTTTAATAGATCTTTAATCACTGGTATTTTTCATTCTAAATGGAAAGTAGCCAAAGTTTTTCCTTTGCATAAGGGTGGTGATAAAGATGTACTTGGTAATTACATTTGATACATTTGATTATTATTTTTAATGCCCTTATTTTACCATATTTCGACTACTGTGATGTAGTGTGGGGTAATTTTAATAAGGGCTCCGCCTGAAAGATTGCAAAAGCTGCAAAATCGAGCAGCGAGAATTATTACTAGATCAGACTATGATGTTAGGTCAGTGGATATTCTTAATAAATTAAAATGAGAAAACCTAGAAGAAAGACGGTTTAAGCACAAAGCTTGCTTGATGTATAATATTCTAAATGATGGAGCTCCGTTGTATTTAAGTGCTGATTTTAATGTATTGGGAGATTCTGTCAGTTATAATTTGAGAGGAGGTAATTTCATATTAACTCTTCCTAAAATGAAGACAGATTCCCTTAAGAGGAGCTTTAGATACGAAGGTGCTAAGATTTGGAACAGCTTGCCACTATCTGCTAAATCTGCAAAGTCTTTCAAAGAATTTAAAGGAAATTTGTAATAGGCCATTTCAAAAACGAGTTGGGGACTGGGTCGAGTTCCGCATTGCAAGTGCTTCTGGGATCGTTACTAGGGACGGCTATGTTTGTTTTCCTAAGAAGAAAGTAACATGTCAGCCTTTTCTAATCCAAAAACCAATGGTTTTTCTCTTGATGAGAACGATATACCAGGAGCAAAACTACCTAAGCCTATTGAAGAGTGTACTTGTGCAGTTCTTCGTCGATGGTTACTTTGTAGAGGAGGGAAGACCTCTGGAAAACTCGCAGATTTAAGAGTAAGGTGAGTACTTGAACACAAGTTACGATCTTTCGATCTATTTGACTTTGAGTTCTACATATTAAAAAAAATTTTTTTTTTTTTTTTTCGTTTTTAGTGATAGTTTTTATTTATTATATCATAACGATTCTAACAGTTTTTTTTTTTTCCCCATTCTTATTGTAGAGTCAAACATTATATCGACAACAATCTGGCTGCGAAGTAATTACGTGACCCAGATGGAGGCGTTCATGTTTTAAAGAAGAAAGCAGAGGCCGGACTGCTAGATGAGACGCCACCAGCTGAAGTTCAAAGCTTTCCAACAGATGGTTACAGCACTGATCTGTCAAAGGTACCTATATAAAGTCACTTTTGGTACTGTGTGGAAATTTATGATAGATAGCATGGAATGGAAGAGTCAACTGTCTACTGCTAAGCCATTAGTGAAAGGTTACAACGTACAGTCCATGGAAAGATAGACGTCAGATGAGTTAGGCTTAATTTCTCTCCGCCTTCCCAATGATCCATACAGATCCTTGTGTTTGTAGACGTGATCTTCAGATTGTCATTTCGGATGAGAACATCGTATTTTTTACGCAGTTCAAAGTCAGTTGGCAAGCAATAAAAATTGAATTCTGGAGGTTGGTTCCTATGGCTGTTACTACATCCTGGCACACAGCAGTTATACTTTGGCATTTTTGCTTTCGATGGTTAAAAGTTCGATTCACTAAAAGAATTTGGAAGAGATCAAAGGTACCAAGTCGAACCATGTCCCTAGCAACAATCCCATAAGCACTTGCAAGGCAAAACTCGACCCAGTCTCCCACTCGTTTTTGAAATGGCCTATTACTTTTCAAATTATGCTTTTCTGATTTATAAATTTGTAGAGTAATTCAATGATGTAATATATTTCTAATATATATATGTATATATATGTACAGCCATTTGCAAAAATTATGGCCGTTTTAAATATATATACAAATATATCAAAAGTATATCAGAGACGTTGGGATATCTTTCTTGATATTTATTTCAGAAAGCCCTAGTGATAGACAACTCGAAAACAATATCAGAGATGGTATCCTATAATTTCTGATTGATATTTTTGATTTTTTTTTTCTCTCTGCCGAAGAGAGGCGGTCTGTGGATAAATGTTTAGAAATCAGACGCTTTTAATATGAAATAAGTGAGTTATGTTATTCTCATAAAAGTGAATGGCTTACCTTTTCTCTTCTCCGTAACGTTTAGGCGCACACAATATGGTATATCACTAGATTCATCGTCACTGATGCTTGCAATGTATTCATTAGTGTCATTGACAGTAAGGTTCTTCAACACAAACCAAGCACGACCCATTGTCAAGTTTCCAAGAAATTCTACTCTTCTTTTCAACGTTTCGCCAATATCTTTGTTTTTGGTCACCCTTCTATGGTAGCCATCAACACTGATAAACTGAGGATCAGGGATGTTGCCCTTTCTTATTCCCCAGCTGACAGCAAGAATTTCTTTTCGATCCGTCGTATTCCACATAAACAAGGCATCTTCTCCAATAGAACCGTTGATATGTTTTGGACCCTTGATTAAGTATACTTTGTCAAAAAAGAAGAAAATTATAAGGCATTACTATATGTTTGCTATTATATGGTGCTGCTGTCTGCAATGATGACTGTATTGCATGAAGCATATCCGTAGACGACAAAACATATATAAGTATTTTCAATATTCTGCAATTTTTCAATTATTAATTGCACGTTCATAAACGAATTATGCTATTTTGTATCTTCACATACCATGTAAATAGAAAAATGTATCATCTACCTAATTGCTATTATAATTTATATCTATGTAAAAAGTAGCTACCTATCTAGTCTCACTTATCAAAGCTATCATAGGTAGCTGGGACTTTTATGTATGTTATATATATTTCTCAAAAATGTAGATATATTAAATTTGTTTTATATTAATAAGTACTGAATAGAATATTGATTGATTGATTGATTTCACCACTTCCAAAATGTTTTGTATAAATAAATATATTTTAGCTCTTAATTTCAACATCATCAACAACAAAAGCTAGGAGTGCCGTGAAAAATCAAATATTGCAAAAACAACTTCATTTTCTTTTTCATTCAAATCTGAATGTGAAAGCAAACATTTTCCTGTTTTTAGGCCCTTTCTTATGATTAAATAGAACGAGCCCATTTCATAAACTACAATTTGTTTCTAAATCCAAAATTAAATGGCGGACATGATATACACCTACTACTGATTCGACTGACTCTGTGTATATTGTGTTCGTATTGCAATTCATATCTTCAGTCAATAGATATACAAGGACACGTAAACCCGTTTTATTAAACGACATCTACTGATTTGATACAATTTTATATGCGAATGCTTCAAAGTGTAGGCAAACGATTATTTGAAGAGAGCCACTAGTAACTGTTGTGCACTACGGCATTCATGATTAAGGGCAAGTTTTCTTGTCATGATGTCTAGATAGTGATTAAATGGTTTCAGACAAGAAAGTGGGGCGCTTTTTTCACGCACGAGAGTTTCTTAGCACTCGATCGTTAATAACTGTATCAGTCAGTAAACTAAAACTTGTTTGAAGATCACTTTGACAAAAATCATTCTTTACCTTGCTGAACGATTTCGAAGAAGTTTAAAAGCAAGCAGATGGAAAGGATTTGAAATCCTATGGAGGCCATCTTGTTTCATCATTTCGCTTTGCTTAAACAAAGGGGAATAATATCTAAAACCCTCATTGGTTGAATTATGACCACGTGACAATAGGGAAATAAGCTACTTATAAATTAGGTTTTTTTTTTCTTCAGTCGCAAATCGCCCTAGAAACCCTTAGCCCTTAAATTATGCGCATGCTTAGAATCAACCATAAGCACATGCTTGAGTAATGGAGAATATGGCGAAGGACTCGTTGCTGTTTCAAGTAATGAATAACATGGAGTCTAACACGCTTAAGACACTTACAAAAGCACACACTTTTCGCGGACGTAGACCCACACTTAAAGATGTAGAGCGTCTTCGGAACAAGTCATGGTAAAAATCTTGATTGCCTTCCCCCAACATTTTTAGCGCGTGTGATTTACAAGGACAAATATCTTTTCGAAAGTCTAACAGACCTTGTACCATCTGAATGAATGACAATTCAATGTTCACGAAGAATTCTTTCGATCTTCTGCTACGAAGCCCGAGTTCACGCAGATATGCGTCTAGTTTGTTAAAATGTACCTCAGGTAACCTATACAGAAGACTATTACAATAGTCGATTCTTCCGATCACAAAAGCATGGACAGGTTTTTCAGTTGCTTCTTTAGTTAAATACTTCCAAATGCGTCTTATAATATGAATATGATAACTTATGCAGTGCTACAAGATTTTTTTAATAGATCGAGGGTGTGTACGAAGGAGAGGAGATTACTTTTGTAAGGAATCAGTGAATTATTTCAAAAGATCGATTGATAAAATGTTGATCATAAAAAAATGTATATAATTATGTATACAAACAAGTGAGGTATTTATTTTACTACAAACCCTTTATCTCCTATAAGCCGTATAACGTAGTTATCAAGGGGAGGGCATCCCATTGATGTAGTGTATGGCACTTTTAATACGCGCATGCAATACAAAAATGCATTTATTTATTTATTCATTAATCGAATTTATTAAACGTAAAGTATAAGTCGAGGTATTACTTAAGGCTTTGGGACTAGTTTCTTAGTCAAGATTCCTTATCATTTTTAATAAACAAACAATATATGTTATTTGTTTGGTATCAACTACGAACACGTTTTGACCCACTAACTAGTGAACCTAAACCACAAGGTCTCTTTGTACTTGTGGATATTATACAGTAACCTTTATTGGTTTGTTCTTTGTCATAACACCTGGTGGACGAACTATCATCATTGATACCACACGAGGTGTATGACGGGGTTAAAAAAATCACATTCCTAGGTGGTTAAACAAACTGCGTGGAAAGCGGATATTTGATTCGTGCAAGTTATTCGTGTTTTAAGCAGACCACAAACAACTCAAATTTCGTTTCTGCTAAGCCTAGAGTAAATGGTGAAACAATTTTTTTATTGCAAAATCATTATATAATGCTTATAAATTTAGAAGTATTACAGTGAAACAAGCTCAACAGTTGACCCTAGCGTCGATTAATAAAATTAATACGTACCAACCGGAATAATGCAATATGGCAATATTCAAATGATAATTCAGTTCATTATTCGACTCGTGATGAAGAAGGTAAATGATCTAAATTACAGATACCTTCGAGCAGAAGTCACTCTCTTATTTCATAAGCATACACACCGTAGGATTTACAATTTTCATACCTCATATTACTTGAAGGATATCATCAGTAATTGCTGAGATGAACAATTTCCTGTCGAATAATATCAGGTGAAGGCCTTCCCGGCACTTAAACAAGGCTAAGTCTATTTCTGGCCGCCATGTTTTCTTGGTCTTCCTGTGCTTGCACTGATAAACCAATCAAAATGTCGTATATTGAATTTAAAGTTCATTGGAATTTTTATATCTTCGTTTTCGACGTTGTCAAATTCAACTGAATAATGAAATCAAAATTCGGGGTCAACGAGTTACCTTGATTGACTTTAATCTTTTGAAAGTTGGATACTTTTGTTATTACGTTATCAGCTCAAAACACTGAAGAAGTCATATCAGCCCTACC